AGACCACAGCCTAGAAAACCCTATGGGCCCAGTTTTACTCTGTCACATGAGGTCACTACGAGTTGGAATTGACTCAATGGGACACAACAACAAAGACAACAAACAGTGTGATTCCTTAAATAAAGCTCACGCACACACAACCCTCAACAGAGACTGTCCAGGGATATAAAGACACTTAGGTCAGACTAGGAAGAAAAGCAGCGAAGTGATGCATCTACGATTCGGGGGGAGGAGGAAAGGAGATGGGGCTGGGAAATGGTGGTGGTTAGCTGGGTGTCCGAGTCAGCGACCTTTAAAATATATATTATATACATACCCGTGCACACATATACATGCATACATACACAAATATTCATTGTGTATATGTGTACATATGCGTATATACGTTTACATATGTATATGTATGCATACGTGTGTATGTGTGTGTATGTGTATATATGTATATGTGTGTGTACGTATGTGAGGTTATGTGTATATAAGAAAATTCAAACCAAAGCCACTGCCACTGAGTTGATTCCACCTTACAGCGATTACTATGTATTATATATATACGCTACTACAATACACATACTCACCTGTCAGTTTGTCATACTGGGGTGGCTTCATGTTGCTGTGACGCTGGAAAATATGCCAGCAGTATTTCAAATACCAACATGGTCACACATGGTGGACAGGTTTCAGCGGAGCTTCCCGACTCAGACAGACTAGGAAAAAACCTGGTGACCCACTTCTAAAACAATTGGCCAATGAAACTCTTACGAACGGCAGTGAAACATCATCTGTAATAGTGCCGGAAGATGAGCCCCTCAGGTTGGAAGGCAGTCAAAAGACGACTGGGGAAGACCTGCCTCCTCAAAATACAGTTGACCTTAATGACGTGGACGGAGTCAAGCTTTCGGGACCTTCATTGGCTGATGTGGCATAACTCAAAATGAGAAGAAATAGCTGCAAACATCCATTAATAATTGGAACATGGAATGTATGAATTATGAATCTAGGAAAATTGGAAGTTGTAAAAAATGAAATAGAACCCTTGAAGATGGATATCCTAGGCATTAGTGAGCTGAAATGGACTGGTAGTTCCCATTTTGAATCAGAGAGTCATACGGTCTACCATGCTGGGAGTGACAAATTGAAGAGGAATGGCATTACATTCATTGTCAGAAAGAACATTTCCAGATCTATCCTGAAATACAACGCTGTCCGTGATAGGATAATATCCACACATCTACAAGGAAGACCAGTTAATATGACTATTATTCAAATTTACACACCAATCACTAAGGCCAAAGATGAAGACATCGAAGATTTTTACCAACTTCCGCAGTCTGAAATTGATCAAACCTGCAGACAAGATGCATTGATAATCACTAGTGATTGGAATGTGAAAGTTGAAAACAAAGAAAAGGAATCAGTAGTTGGAAAATATGTACTTGGTGAAAGAAAGGACATTGGCGATCAAATGATAGAACTTTGCAAGACCAACGACCTATTCGCTGGAAATACCTTTTTTCAACAACATAAACAGCGACTGTACACATGGACCTCAGCAGATGGAATACACAGGAATCAAATCGACTACATCTGTGGAAAGAGACGGTGGAGAAGCTTGTATCATTAGTCAGAACAAGGCCAGGGGCCGACTGCAGAACAGACCATCAATTGCTCATACGCAAGTTCAAGCTGAAGAAAATTAAAGTAAGTCCACGAGAGCCAAAGTACGACCTTGAGTATATCCCACCTGAATTTAGACACCATCTCAAGAATAGATTTGACGGGATAAACACTAATGACCAAAGATCTGACAAGTTGTGGGATGTCATCAGGGACATCATACATGAAGAAAGCAAAAGGTCATTAAAAAGACGGGAAAGAAAGGAAAGACCAAAATGGATGTCAGAAGAGACTCTGAAACTTGCTCTTGAACACAGAGTAGCTATAGCAAACAGAAGAAATAATAAGTAAAAGAGCTGAACAGAAGATTTCAAAAGTAGACTGAGAAGACAGAGTAAAGTATTATAATGACGTGCAAAGAGCTGGAGTTAGAAAACCAAAAGGGAAGAACAAGCTCGGCATTTCTCAAGCTGAAAGAACTGAAGAAAATTCAAGCCTTGAATTGCAATATAGAAGGACTCCATGGGCAAAATCTTGAATGACAGAGGAAGCATCAAACGCAGATGGAAGGAATATAGTCACTGTACCAAAAATAACTGGTTGATGTTCAATCATTTCAGGGAGGTAGCATATGATCAAAAACTGATGGTACTGAAGGAGGATGTCCAAGCTGCATTGAAGCACTGGTGTAAAACAAGGCTCCAGGAATTGACAAAATACCAACTGAGATGTTTCAACAAACGATGCAACACTGGAAATGCTCACGCGTCTATGCCAAGAAATTTGGAAGATAGCTACCTGGCCACCCGACTGGAAGAGATCCACATTTGTGCCCATTCCAAAGAAAGGTGATCCAACAGAATGCAGAAATTATTAAATAATATCATTAATATCGCACATAAGTAAAATTTTGCTGAAGATAATTCAAACACGGTTGCAGCAGTACATTGAAAAGGAACTGCCAGAAATTCAAGCAGGACTCAGAAGAGGACATGGATCCAGGGATATCACTGCTGATGTCAGATGGATCTTGGCTGAAAGCAGAGATACCAGCAAGATGTTTGTTTACTTGTGTTTTATTGACTACGCAAAGGCATTCAACTGTGTGGATCATAACAAATTATGGATAACATTGCAAAGAATGGGAATTCCAGAACACTTAATTGTGCTCATGCGGAACCTGTACATAGACCAAGAGGCAGTTGTTGGAACAGAACAAGGGGATACTGTGTGGTTTAAAATCAGGAAAGGTGTGTGTCATGGTTGTATCCTTTTACCATACTTATTCAATCTGTATACTCAGCAAATAATCTGAGAAACTGGAATATACGAAGAAGAACGGGGCTTCGGGACTGGAGGAAGACTCACTAACAACCTGAGATATGCAAATAATACAGTCTTGCTTACTGAAAGTGAAGAGGACTTGAAGCATTTACTGATGAAGATCAAAGACCACAGCCTTCAAGTATGGATTACACCTCAACATAAAGAAAACAAAAATCCTTACAACTGGACCAATAAGCAACATCATGATTAACAGAGAAAATATTGAAGCTGTCAAGGACTTCATTTTACTCTGATCCACAATCAATGCCCATGGAAGCAGCAATCAAGAAACCAAGTGATGTATTGCACTGGGCAAATCTGCTGCAAAATGCGTCTTTAGAGTGTTAAAAAGCAAAGATGTCACCTTGAGGACTAAGGTGCGCCTGACCCAAGCCAGAGTGTTCTCAGTCACCTCATACACATGCGAAAGCTGGACAATGAATAAGGAAGACCAAAGAAGAACGGATGCCTTTGAATTGTGGTGTTGGCGAAGAATATTGAATATACCATGAACTGCCAGAAGAACGAACAAATCTGTCTTGGAAGACGCACAGCCAGAATGCTCCTTAGAATCGAGAACGGCAAGACTTTGTCTCACATACTTTGGACGTGTTATCAGGAGGGACCAGTCCTTGGAGAAGGTCATCAGGCTTGGTAAAGCAGAGGGTCAGCAAAAAAAACGAAGACCCTCAATGAGATGGATGTTCACAGTGACTGCAACGATGGGCTCAAACAAAGCAATCACTGGGAGGATGGCGCAAGACCGGGCAGTGTTTTGTTCTGTTGTACACAGGGCTGCTGTGAGTCGGAACCGACTTGATGGCATCTAACAATAATGACAATACATATACTACTGTATATATCGCAGGAGCCCTGGTGGTGCCCAGGTCAAGCACTCGGCCACTAAACAAAAGCTGCTCCGAGCGAGAAAGATGTGGCGACCTTCTTCCACAAAGATCACAGCCTTGGAAAGCCTACAGGGTAGTTCTACCCTGTCCTACAGGGTTGCTATGAGTGGGATTCGACTCAATGGCAGTGAGTATGTGTAATCGTCTTGGATCTACCCAGTATCCCAGGGAGCACACGTCTAAACCATAAATAAAGCCTTGCCCATCGTCCCCACGTGAACCCTCCCGAGGCTGCAGTTTGCACAAAATCAAACCTGTGACCATGACCCCGTGGCCTTGTAGACCTGGCCAGCCTCCCCTCTGCCCAGCCACGCTGTTACCCGCCACCCACGGTCTCCCTGTGGCCATCCCCTCCCTCATTTATGTCCACCCAATGTCACCTCCCCCGGGGCCCTCCCTTTACCCTCCTTCCTTCCTTTCTCACTTAAATGAGATAAAAATTTCAGAAACATCACCCCACAAACATGGCTCCTGGGAGCGGGGGTCTTCTGCCCTTTACACTGAGCCCGTGCCTGGAGCACCCCTGCACATGGCACATGCCGATCCATGTCCACGCAGGAAGGGGGTGGGGTGGGGAGACCGGGCAGCCACCCCCACTCTGCTGAGGACAGGGCAACCCTGGAGGAGACAGGAGGGAAGGCACAGAGAGCAGCGTTTAGACAGCCACGGGGTGGGGGGCCTGCAGAGGGCTGCAGCTCAGCGAAGAGGCAAGAAAGGTCTAAGAAGTGGGCCCCAACCCAGCCCAACCAGCACGAGGGCCTCCGTTTCCTCCTCTGTCTGTGGAAAGTCACACCTACACCATGCCGTCATTTGAAACCCAACGAGACCCTCCCTCCACCACGCAGCCACAGGAAGAGGGTCCCCGAGCCCTCAGTCCAGTCCCTCCAGGCAGAGGGTCTCCGAGCCCTCGGTCCAGTCCCTCCAGGCAGAGGGTCCCCGAGCCCTCGGTCCAGTCCCTCCAGGCAGAGGGTCCCCGAGCCCTCGGTCCAGTCCCTCCAGGCGCCGAGCAGCCCGTCCACTGTGCGGCAGTCACTGGGGTCTCAGGACATGTTTGTCACAGGAACTGGTCCACCGCCACCAACTCCAGCTCAGCAAAGACTCCGCCCACAGCCAAGCCTCCCTCCACCCCCCGAGCTGCGCCACCATCATTACCTAGGGGCTGATACCCTTGTCTCGAGGGACCCCCGAATGGGCCACGGCTTCCCAGTCCCCCGCCGCCGGCAATGGATCCGTAGGACATGCTGTCTCAGCAGGTGGCCTTCTCAGGAGCTGGCGGGGCACAGACACAGGACAGGGGGGAGGGTTACAGCTCAGACTGGGCACTCGGGCCTCCGTCCACCCCAGGCCCACAGCCCCGCCCCACACACCCTTCCCAGGGACCCCATGCCCGTGTCCCAGCTCAGCCTGGCTCCCACCAGCCCCGTGTCAGCGAGACCCCTGCACCCCTCCAAGTGTCCTCTTGGCCCACCTGCTCAGGGGTGGGGGCGCTGGGACCTCAGAGAGGCACACCCCTAGGCTGCAGGCACTCACCAAGGGAGCCCCTGCAAGGACCCCCACTGGGAAAATCCTGCAAGCACCCCACCAAGGGGAGCCCCCCACAGGCAACTCACCAACCAGAGCCCCCCACAGGCACCCCACCAAGGGGAGCCCCCCACAAGCAACTCACCAACCAGAGCCCCCCACAGGCACCCCACCAAGGGGAGCCCCCCATAGGGAACTCACCAACCAGAGCCCCCCACAGGCACCCCACCAAGGGGAGCCCCCCACAAGTAACTCACCAACCAGAGCCCCCGACAGGCACCCCACCAAAGACAGCCCCCCACAGGCACCCCATCAATGGGAGCCCCCCACAGGCACCCCACCAATGGGAGCCACCCACAGGCAACTCACCAACCAGAGCCCCCAACAGGCACCCCACCAAAGACAGCCCCCCACAGGCACCCCATCAATGGGAGCCCCCCACAGGCACCCCACCAAGGGGAGTTCCCCAAAGGGACTTCACCAAGGGGAGCCCCTGCAGACACCTCACTAACCAGAGCCCCCCACAGACAACCCGCCAAGGGGAGCCCCCTGTAGGCAACCCACCAACCTGAGCCCCCTGCAGGCACCCTGCCAAGGGGAGCCCCACAGACACCCTCCTCCACAAGCACCCACCACAATGCCGGCGGCTTTAGGACTCCCATCCACAGAGGGGCCAGCAAGGCCCAGAGACAGTGGGACAGGCCCAGGCCACGTGGGGGCCACACAGGCGTCCAGTCCAGAGACCGCTGCTCCACCGGGATCGTCTGGGGCCCTGGCCAGGCGTGTGGCCTGCACAAACAACTGGGGTCCACCCAGCTCCGTGGCAGGAACGATCACTCATTTTAAAGGCAGGAAACCAAGGCTCAGAGAGGTGAGGAGACACAGCTGAGGCCTGCTGTGTGGTCAGAATGGGGCCTGGGGAGATGGGGGCCTTGTCCACGGAGCTCACACCAGTGCCAGCGCCCACACCTGGACGAGGGGACCGTCCACGGCCTGGGACAGCGGGAGGCCTGTCCAGGGAACCCACACCGAGCACCCACAAGGCCGGCACACACAGTGTGACCCTAACTCTGAGTCTCTGAGGTCTCAGGGACTGTGAGCAAGGGCGACCAGGAGGACGGCAGGGGCAGCTGCAGGGGTCGCAGCAGGAGGGGGCCGAGCAGCTGGTCAGAAGGAAATGGGTGCTGAGTGGGTGAGGGACCAGGGCTGGCCTGACCACTAAGGCCCCTGTGGTCCCGACTCGGGGCCACGTCGGCTCCCTGGCCCCACTCTCCCCTGAAACACCAGGCTGGGTCGCTCTGGGTGCTGAGAGTCCAGGGCCCTGTGCTGCGCTGGGGGACCCGGGAGGCTCTGGCCAGAAGCGGGCCCTATGGGGGGCAGGTGGAGGCCCGGGCACTCTGACAGGGCCCAGCCTGGGCCAAGCTCAGAAGGAGAGGGGCCTGGGTGGTAAGTGGGGAACACGGCTGAGGGGGAGGGACAGAGGACGGGGCGATGTGGGGCCCAGGGCTTCCGAGGGGGTGAGGTGGGCAGAAAGCGAGCAGGGGCTGAGCAAGAAGGGAGGGGGCGGAAGTTGGCAGCCAGGCCAGGCCAGGACGGCAGAAGCTGACCATCGGTGGTGCCCAAGAATGTCCCCAAACCCCACAGCTGCCTCAATGAGGCACACAGAGGGCCAAGGGGACAATGCCCGCCTGCCCACCCACTCACAGGAGGCCCCTGCTGAGTGGCTTCCGGAAACGCCAGCCTTGGGCCCCGAGCTGGCGCCGGGGCCGTCCCTGTGCCTGAGGGGAGCTGTCTGTCCTCCAGGCTCAGATCCTGTTTACACGGCACCGGAGGAAGCGGGGGTGCCAAAGAACGCCCACCGCAGCCTGCTGCTGGCCCGGACAAAGCACCAGTCTGCAGGAGGAGGGCCAGCCAGCAGGATGCCAGGGGGCTGCCCCGCTCCAAGCCTGGCTGGTGAGTGGGGCAGGACCATGTCCCCTCCCCGTGGGCCCCCAGGTAGGCTGCCCCACTCCAAGCCCGGCTGGTGAGTGGGGCAGGGCTGGGTCCCCCTGCCATGGGCCCTCAAGCAGGCTGCCCTGGGCCCGTGCTCCCAACTCCCCGTCAGCCCCGGCTCCCAGAAGAGGGCCAACCCCAACAGCAGACAAGGAGCCACGTTTACCAGACTGGGCTGAAGGGCCCCCAAGAGTGGAGACCAGGTCCCTGGCGGGGAACCACAAAGACACTGCTAGACGGGGGGCATCGATGAAGAGGATCAAGGGTGAACAGGGAGGAGACACCGGGATCAACTCACAATGTTGTGTCTCCTCACAACGAGGACAGCCTGCTGGGATGCCCCAGCCCCCCAGCCCAGCTCACACCAGATGCAGGGAGACAGGCTCAAGTTTCCAAGCAGACTGCCCTTCCGGTGATGGGGAGTACCGGTCCCCAAAGCAGGCCCTAGGGAGAGCACCATTTTCTAGGGCAAACGGAAACTGCAAGGTCAAAGAGGAGGAAAGTAATGAGACCCAGTCCCACCCAGCTGGCGCTGCCGGCCTGCTTTAGCGAGCTTCCCTGCTGGACGTCCTTCCTCGGGGCTCACTGGCCCCCTTCCCGCTGCACCACCCGCCCCATTCCTGATCAGCCTTCAGAGAGCAGACACGCCCCGAGTCTCTCCCTCCATCCACACCGAATCTCTCCCTCCGTCCATGCCCGGAGTCCTCTCTCCCTCCGTCCACGCCCCGAGTCTCTCCCTCCGTCCACGCCCCGAGTCTCTCCCTCCGTCCACGCCCCGAGCCTCTCCGTCCATGCCCCGAGTCTCTCTGTCCACACCCAGAGCCTCTCTGTCCACACTCAGAGCTGGGGCGCGTGTAGAAGGAGGAGCTGCAGGACTGAAATGTCAGGTCCATCAGCCCTAGCTCAGGGCCTGGGGAAGGGAGCGGGGATCTCACTGCTCCGGAATTTTCTGTCCTTCCTACTCCCTTTCTGTCCTTCTGTGACAGGAGGAGCAGAGAGGGCAGGGGCCATGGCACACGCCTAATGCTGACTTCTGGAGGTGTCGTGCCCAAGTACGTGGTCCGGGCTGCCCGATGACCACTGCCCAGAAAGTGTCACACACGGAGATCAGCAAAGGATGCCCCACCTTGGAGCTGCACGGGTCCATGCTGTGACAGGAATGTCAGAGGGATGGAGGGCAGGACAGGAGGGTGCAGCCAGGGGGCAGGAGCAGAACTGTGGCCGTGCTCCTGCACCGGGTCTCCCTGCTGGCCACACGGCACAGCTCACACGCCCGGCACTGCCCAGGGCACACAGGAGACATGGCCTTGTGGCTCTGCCCCACCCTGCACCACGTACCAGCTGCCATCACCAGCCACAGCCCCTCCAGGGAAGCAGGTGGCCTGGGCCACGTTGCCTAGAGACGGGGGGAGGACGGGGTTGGGAGGCAACTGGGAGATGCCCACGTCACTGCAGGCGGAGGCTACCTGTCCACCCGAGGGCCAACGGACTCAACACGTCTGCCTGGGAAGTCTTCAGGCAGGACTAATGCCTCTGGACCCCCAGTCCTCCACTCGTCACTGCCGTGGGCATCGCCAACACAGCACCAGCCTCATGAATGTGCCCCTGGGGGTCGCCATAGAAGCCAAGCAAACTTGGGGACCCCTGGGTGAAGACCAGGGCATCACCACGAGGCCAGGCTACCCCCCAGACTGGGCCTGAGTCTGGTCACATCCAGTGCACGTTGAGTGTTACGTTGAAAAACCCTCTATGACCTATTCTGGGGCCAGAGGGGACGTTGGATGAGGGGTGGGGTCTCCCATGGGCACAGGGGGGATGCTCCAAGCTGCTCCAACCTCAGTGGTCAAGATGAGGAAACTGACACCAGCAAGGCAAAGCGACTTAGCAAAGTCACAGAGACACAGGCAGGGCCCAGACCAACGTTGCCGATCCCCCAGGCCTGGAGTGCCGTCTGCCTGCCCCTGGCTCCCACGGTCACGGGACCCCTCCTTGGTGCTGCACCACGTGTGGGGTCTCAGGGGTGCCCTCACACTGGTCTCCCCACTAGACCACGAGCTCCGTAAGAGGACCAGCTTTGTCCATCCTGTATGGCCCATGCACATGTTCACTCACTCATCCACCAGAAGGTGGTGCTCGATTGAAACTTGGCGGTGCCAGCGAGAGGTCACGGTTGTTAATTAATATGCACAGGTAACTAGAGATATAAATGTTGCATGGGAACATACAAAATCACATACACACGCTTACATAGGCACGTATGCATACGACACACATCTAACGGTATCCACTGAGACAGCCTAGAAGCTATGACATCACCATAGCAATGCGCACACCTACCACACAGAGCTTGGCTACTAACTACCACAGAAGGATCTGGGGCTCCTTGGAGAAATGGCTGATTCCTGGGCCAGGGCAGGAAAAGTAAAAGACGAGCCTAGAGCTTCTTGTTCTGGAAGAAAGTAAGGATGCGCTCAAAGAAAGGAGGGGACACCTCAAAGGACAAGGAGCCAGCTAGAAAAGGCTCCCACTGGCAAAATCTGGGACAATGAGAGCATGACAATAGGTAATGAGAGTAAACGACTATAACCACTGAATAAAACAAAAATCCATGAGACCCACTGTTATAAATGAATAAGTAGTAAAAAAGAGACAGAAAGCTCTTCCTTACAGAAGAAGGCCAACTAACCAATGTGGAAGGAATGACGGCCCCAGCAACCACCAGACCAC